TACAATATATGCCATTTACAGTATAAGTTATATGATGGATATAATTGGATTTAACAGAATATTGTGATTGTAGTGGAATTTTATTTTGCGATATTCTTTTTAAGCTATAATTATAGAATACATCCATACTAATTATTACATATTTACTAACTTTTAAAAAGGGACATTCCGATTTAGATAAAAAAACATAAAATGGGACTCAACTGATAAATCTTTATTAAAGTACAAGGTAATTTATGACATAGTTATTTTATTAACTAGGCTATTAGATACTTTGAGACTATTGACTCAGTTTTGTGCAAAAATTAATAATATTACGGTATGATTGAAATAAAACTTAAACCCCATTTAATAATGTTGGTAATAAAATAATTTCAAAACCTGATTTATCAAGTTCAATGCTGTCTGATTTTATTAATTTATTAATATAACAAAATTTATTTATCAAATTACATAATTGTGACTGTATGTTACTGTTCAATTAAGTAATTTACTTATGAGTTAAAGTAATTGACATTTTTCAAATATAATAATACTGTATACGTCAATATACAAATAAGATCTAACATGAAAATGTTTTTTGAAATAATTTGTACCAACATATACAAATAATTAGAAACAGTACTTGAACATAAAACTCAAACTGAAAAATAAGATAAAATTTCAGTAAATAAAACTTTAATATATTTACAATTTGAAATTGTTGCATTGTATCAATAAAATGAACAAGCGATTGCAAAAGCAAATTATCTTACAGATATATTGTCATTTTATTTATAATAATTAAGTTCTGAATATTCCACTATAAAAGCAAATACTATTTTATAATTTTCTAATTAATTAATCATATAGTTTATGTTGTGTGTCATATAGTTTCACCCCTCAAACTGTCGGCCAAACATTCAGCCGAGATATACACCGTTTGCATGAGTTGTATATACACCGCGGGACTGGTGCTCAACATATTTTATCCATACAAGTATTTCTAATGTCATATGTTTTGGTTTAATAATTATTTACTAGCTAATATTTTTTAGATTTAAAGTGCGGACAATAATAGCCGTTCACTATGTGTTCATAATAGTTGGGTTTATACTATTAATACCCGCCCAAACATCATTGACATTGCTATGGGTGGCTACTATTATCATGTACATAGGCTACTCGGCCATGTACGCCGGTATCCTAGCCATGGCCGAGGAATACTTGGATATGACTAATAGATTGAGTTCTATGTTCCTGTTATTTCGTGGTATACTGACCCTGGTCACACCGTTTGTTGTGGGCAACTATATCGAGGACAATTCAATTATATTCCTATACATAGAGTTCGCGTATTTAATAATTTCTATTATTATATTTATCGCGATAAATGTGATCATTCAAAAATATACACATTTCAATAATAATAATAATTATAATAACAATATCGTTACAAACATTTCTATTGCAAATGAAATTAAATAAATTTTTGCTTGACAACATAAATTTGGGATTAATTATCCAATAATTCATTTAAATATGTGATAATAAACTAAAACATTTGTGGCCAGACGTGTGTTGTGACGTAAGCGCTATTATGCTTCACTTGTCACTTCAGATTCTCCATTAGTTATCGGAGTAATTATTTTATTTATATTTAAGGAGACTTATGTAATAATAATAATATTATTTAATTATCTATGTTGTAAAACATAATCTATAAATATGTTTCAATAAAATTTCTAGATAATCTAATTATATTTATGTTCTAACAGATAATTTTTTTATAACTGTTTAATAAAGTAATGTTGAGATACAAGTACTACGATATATTGTAATTACAAGTTCATTGGCAAGTATAAATCATAAATATTAATAAGTAAGTTGTGTAATTAATGTTATAACTACTACATAACTATATATTCTACTAACAAACGATAATTACATAATAAAATAAAACAATAAATATGGTCTCATACTAATGTAACTTTGTCTATTTTATTATTTATTATATAAATGAAGGTTTGGAGAAAATAGTTAATATTTGTTTGATTGTAAAGTGAATAAAAGTCTGAGCCATGCATTTGTCAAACTGGAAGGATTATATTACAAATGAAAAATACATATACACGCTCATTTTATCATGCAGTGGAATATCATATGTATGCATTCATTCTTTACTAAATCCTTAACCATATGTCACACCATTATTTATAAACCACTTGACCTCATAGGGAATGATATATTCAGTATACGGTCCTATTATGGTTGATATGAAGTACATTTTGCACACAACTATGAAATGGATTTCACTGTTTACTACATTTGAAACGTGTGGTTACATACTGGGCACTTTTGGTAGCAAGTACATAGATTAAAAATTACTTTAAAAACTAATAAATCAATTTTAAATCTNATGAAGTACATTTTGCACACAACTATGAAATGGATTTCACTGTTTACTACATTTGAAACGTGTGGTTACATACTGGGCACTTTTGGTAGCAAGTACATAGATTAAAAATTACTTTAAAAACTAATAAATCAATTTTAAATCTAGCTGCTCTACTACTGGTCAAATATCTAAACCGACAGTTATTAATAGCTACATTTTTTACATTGCTAACCATTGCCACGGCAGTCATACCCCTATCCACATATGTATGGGCGCTATATATCTGTGCGTTTGCCACCGGTGTTGGATCCAGTGGTTTAGGGTGTTTCACATCCGTGTGGCTCATAGAGCTCTGGAGGGGCAGTAAAGTCCCGATTATACAGATCTATGAGCTTTCCTTCGGAATCGGAGCCATNCGTGTGGCTCATAGAGCTCTGGAGGGGCAGTAAAGTCCCGATTATACAGATCTATGAGCTTTCCTTCGGAATCGGAGCCATTCTCTCGACAATTGCTTTAAAGCCATACATTACCGGAGAATTGGAGTCAGAGATCAAGAATCACACCATTTATTCAGACAATGAGTTAGAGATTGATGTGATCGATAGAAAGTCCCGGATTATGATACCAACACTTTTGATTGGCGGTTGTATTATAACCGGTGAATATAAATTTATTTTTATAGTATTTTACATTGAGTATTCTCAGCAGTTTATAATTGAATTATAATTGTATAGCGTGCCAATTACAATGAAAAATTTATTTATTAACTAATAATAATAATTTATTTATCAATTTCAGTGCCATTATCGTTGTTTGTAATGAATTTTGTGAAGCCATACAAAGAATCAATTCATAAAACTGTGGACACGGATGGGGATGAAAGTCATTCACAAGAGACTGAAGAGACGGTTAAGTTGTTTAATAGGAAAGACACCCCGAAAATAACAGTCCGAATATTGTTTGCCCTGATGTTTGCCATTTGGAACATATTTGAGACCACATTCAATAGGTTTGCGGTCACTTACTATCAGTACTCACCCCTCAAACTAAACGCCGAGACATCGGCCGAAATATATAGCGTTTCTATGGGTATATTCACGACAGGACTCCTACTTAACATATTTTATCCGTACAGGTATTCATGAGATGTTTGTCTTTTTATTTGTAACTATATTATTATTACTGTGTAATAGATTTCAGTTAAAGACTATAATAGCGGCACATTATGTGGTGATCATAATAGGTCTATCACTGCTAATACCGGCCCAAAACTCACTGACCATGTTATGGGTGGCCACTGGTATTATGTATATGGGTTTCTCAGCCATGTACGCCGGTATACTGGCCATGGCTGAGCAATACCTAGATTTGACTAATAGGCTCAGCACTGTATTCCTATTATTTCGTGGTGTNTTTGTAGTATTATTATTTAAATGTGAATACTTTCTGATCATAAAAATGATACAAGCAAATATAATAAGTGATATTAATAAATAGATGTACTCTATGTATAAGAATATGATTGAATAGTTCTCGATATAGTCGCCCACAAGGAATGGTGTGATAAGTGTCATAATACCACGAAATAACAGGAACACTGTACTCAATTGGTTAGTCATGTCCAGGTGCTGCTCGGTTATGGCTATAATACCGGAGTACATGGCTGAAAACCCCATATACATGACTATCATAGCTGCCCACAGCATAGGTAGTGATGTGCGGCCCGGTATCAGTAGTATAGCTCCGATAATAACCATTACGTAATGAAATGAAATGATATTTTTTATCTGAAATCTAAATGTGATAAGAGTTATAATAAAAATCGGTAATAACCTATATATATATAACTTATATAATATAAGTATATATATAAATTATTGCATACCTGTACGGATATAATATGTTAAGTACCAGTCCCGCAGTATAGACACTCATGGCTACGGTGTATAGCTCAGTGGCCTTTTCAGCGGTCAGTTTGAGCGGTGAGTACTGGAAATAAGTGACCGAAAACTTATTGAAAGTCGTCTCAAACACTAAATAAAATGCAAACTCTAAGGCAAATAGTAATCTCATTGTCTTTCTCGGAGTCTCTTTCCTGTTAAACAACTTCTTTGAAATCACGTCATAATTATTATTATTATTGTTGTTGTAATGAGTGTCTTGTGTCTCAACTTCAGTATCTGTGTTGTCCTCCCCTTTAACTTTAGGCTCTTTGTATGGCTTAAGGAAATACATGATAAACAATGCGATCGGAACTGCAATCAAATTATACATTATTTGACTATAATTATCAATTTATATTACAAGTTAATTAGAATCTCGAATTAACAATTATAATAACAACTTACTAGTAATGATGCATGCTCCAATAAGCATAGTGGGGTACATAAGCCGGGACCTTCTTTCGGTTACATCGTTCACATCAATCACTAACTCATTGTCTGAATATACTTTCAGACCCTTTGTCTGCGAGGGTTCGCCGATTAGGTATGGCTTTAAAGCCATTGTCGACAGAACAGCGCCGATGCCAAAGGATAACTCAAACACCTGCACTATGGGAACCTTACTACCCCTTCCCAACTCCACTGTCCACACTGTGGTGGCACTACCGTAAACAGCAGCTCCCAGGCCGATGGTAAACGCGCATAAGTATAGCACCCATATGTATGGGGATAGGGGTATGACAGCCGATGCGATGGTGAGGAATGTAAAAAATATGGCAAACGTTATCTGTCTGTTCAGGTATTTGAATAATAGGGCGACTGTTCATAAATGTGAGCAAATTTATAAAATATATTAATTAAATGTAATATGTTTTATTATAGATTAATTAATCAATTACTGAAAGTTCCCAGTATAAATCCCGTGGTCTCAAAGGTACCAAAAAGTGAGATCCATTTCATGGACGTGTTCAGGATATACTTCATGTCCACCATTATGGGTGCGTACACCGAGTAAACCATACCCTGGGTTATTTTATTTTATATTAATTACTTCAATATTTTGTATTACTTCAATATTGATATTATACATACATATGAGATACCACTACCAAACAGGATGGCAGTATAAATATATCTGTCATAACCGGTACAATTTTTTATGTTTAGGAATCCCATGATTAATTAATTAGAAAATTATAAAATAGTATTTGCTTTTATAGTAGAATATTCAGAACTTAATTATTATAAATAAAATGACAATATATCTGTAAGATAATTGCTTTTGCAATCGCTTGTTCATTTTACTGATACAATGCAACAATTTGAAATTGTAAATATATTAATGTTTTATTTACTGAAGTTTTATTATATTTTTCAGTTTGAGTTTTATGTTCAAGCACTGTTTCTAATTATTTGTATATGTTGGTACAAATTATTTCAAAAAACATTTTCATGTTAGATCTTATTTGTATATTGACGTATACAGTATTATTTTATTTGAAAAATGTCAATTACTTTAACTCATATTAAGTAAATTACTTAATTGCACAGTAAAATACAGTCACAATTATGTAGTTTGATAAATAAAGTTATATTAATAAATTAATAAAATCAGACAGCATTGAACTTGATAAATCAGGTTTTGAAATTATTTTATTACCAACATTAAATGGGTTTTAATTTTTATTTCATTTCATTTTTATTTATTTTTTGGGGTTTTATTTTATTTCAACCGTAATATTATTAATTTTTGCACAAAACTGAATCAATAGTCAATAGTCTCAAAGTATCTAATGGCCTAGTTAATAAAATAACCGTGTTATAAATTACCTTGTACTTTAATAAAGATTTACCAGTTGAGTCCCATTTTATGTTTTTTATCTAAAGGCAAAACATAATAAAACTAATAATTTAACTCTTTTTGGTATTTATATATTTTCATAAAAATTCAAATTAATTGCACAGTAACTAAACCCTTGAGTTTTATATTTAATATAAAATTATTATTTAATTTTATCATTTTCTCTATTTGCGCTAATAATCCAACTAAATAAGGTAATCTAAAATTAATAAAATATTTTATTTCATATACCACGATATAATAATGTAAAAATGGTGTTTTATTTTTATTTTTAATCAATCATTTTTAAATACAAATATAATACAACGGATATATATAATTAAATTAATTTATAACAATATGATAATTTGTAACAGGAATAATTATGTGAAGGCGTTCATCAAGTAAGTACAGTAAGTTAGTTAAAATGTTAGTTAAAAACTGAACCCCCTCACACTTTAGTGAGCATATGAAATTTGTGAATGCCGCCTAATATTTTTAATATTATTTAATGGTGAATATTTTCTAACCATTAAAACAATAGTTAAGAATATAATTATAGAAAGCACTAAATACATGGCCTCTATATATAGCAATACAATTGAATTATCCTCAATATAGTTGCCAACAATAAATGGCGTGACCAGGGTCAGTACACCACGGAATAATAAAAACACTGAGCTAAGCTTATTAGTTAAATCTAAATATTGCTCAGCCATGGATAGTATACCGGCGAACATGGCTGAGAAACCCATATACATCATACCAGTCCCCACCCATAACAGGGTCAGCGAGTTTTGGGCCGGTATTTGTATCGCAAACCCAATCACAATCACCACATAATGTGCCGCTAATATAGTCTTGAGTTGAAACCTAATTTCAAAACATTAAACAATTATGTTTTTAGAATATTTAATAAATATAATAATAATTGTAATAAAATAAAATATATAAATACTTGTATGGATAAAATATGTTGAGTACCAGTCCCGCGGTGTATATACTCATGGAGACTGTATATATCTCTGCCGATGTCTCGGCGTTTAGTTTAAGGGGTATGTACTGGAAATAACTGACCGCAAACTTATTGAACGTGGTCTCAAAAATACTATAAATTGCAAATAGCAAGGCAAATAGAAATCGCATTGTTTTTCTCGGTGTGTCTTTCCTATTGAACAACTTTACAGTCTCTTCAGTCTCATGCGAATGACTTTCCTTTTCGGTGTCCATATCCTTAACCATTGGCTCAGTGTATGGCTTAAGAAAATACATGACAAACAGCGACAGTGGCACTGAAATAGGCAAACAATTTATATAGACATTTATGAGCTAGTAATTATGGTTAATAAGTTATAATATTCACCTGTTATAATACAACCGCCAATTAATAGGGTCGGTATCATAAGCCGGGCTCTTCTATCGACCACATCGTTCACATCAATCACTAACTCATTGTCTGAATAAATGGTGCGATTCTTGACCTCAGAGTCCATTTCTCCGGTAATGTATGGCTTTAAGGCGATTGTCGACAGAATGGATCCGATTCCGAAGAAAAGCTCAAATATCTGAATAATGGGGACTTTAGTGCCCCTCCAGAGCTCCACCAACCAAACCGGTGAGAAGCACCCGAAAACACAGGACCCGATCCCCATCGCAAACGCACAGATATATAGTACCCATAAATAGGGTGATAGGGGTATGACAGCGGTGGCAATAGTTAGCAGGGTAAAAAATGCCGCCAATAATAGCTGTCGGTTTAGATACTTGACCAGTAATAAGGCAGCTAATTGTCAAAAATAATTATATTACAAATTAGATTTTCTATTTTATTATTATATTTAAGTAATATATTAAAGTATTATATTAAATAATAGTTACCAAATGTTCCCAGTAGATAACCAGTGGTTTCAAATGTTGTAAACAGTGAAACCCATTTCATAGATGTGTGTAAAATATATTTCATGTCAACCATAATGGGGCCATATATTGAGTATATCATACCCTAAAAGATTTAAATACAATATTAAAATTAAATTAATTAAATGTAAAATTATACTTGTACATACATATGATATTCCACTGCATGATAGTAAGAGCGTATAGATGTATTTCTCATTATTAATGCAATTTTTCCAATTTGGCAAATGCATGGTTCAATATTTATTTGTTCAATTTAAGTGGTTAGTTATTTTAACAAGCATTCCTTTATATACTAAACAATATATTCATTTTATGCAATCATAAAGTTATATTTAATATTTATTACTTACTTGTATTTTGTAATTTTCTTAGTGTACTGTATATAAATATCATTATATAATGCACTAAAGTTATCTATGTTGAGTTATCTATGCCCCTATGTTAAGATGTTCCAAGAAAACAATTAATTTTTATAATATAATAGGTATTCAGTTTATTACTTGTGCCAATTTATCACTAACAGTAATTATGTTTTCAATGTAAGTAGATAAATCAGTAATAATATTATGTAAAACCACCTGTATGCAGTTTTGTTTAGAAATAATTTAATATTTTTAATCTTTTACTTCATTTACTATTTATGATAAGATGCTGTAGATATTAATAACTTAATTAACAAAACTTTATTGATCATAAATATTATTAAAACTTTTTGAGAATACATAATTATATTTATAAACTAAAATAATTTTGTTATAAAGTATTACATTAAATATTAATAACACAATAATTAATTTGTAACTGAATTTATATTATTATTGTTATTATTATTATTAACACTATTTAAATGTGAATATTTTCTGACCATTAAAACTATTGCAACGAATATAACTATAGAAATGACTAAATATATGCCTTCAATATACAGAAATACAATTGAATTGTTTTCAATGTAGGGGCCAACAATGAATGGAGTGACCAGGGTCAGTACACCACGAAATAATAGGAATACAGTGCTGAGCCTATTAGTCAAATCTAGGTATTGCTCAGCCATGGCCAGTATACCGGCGTACATGGCTGAGAAACCCATATACATAATACCAGTGGCCACCCATAACATGGTCAGTGAGTTTTGGGCCGGTATTAGCAGTGATAGACCTATTATGATCACCACATAATGTGCCGCTATTATAGTCTTTAACTG